CACTCCAGTCTGGGCGACCGAGTGAGTTTCCAACTCAAACAAAAATAAATAATAAAAAATAAAATAAAATATTTATATCCTCAGATTCTAAGCTTTTTTTTTTAATCCCAAGACTTCTGAGCCACCTGAGCTTGTTAAAAACCTACCACATCTCTTTCATGACCTGACATTTAATACTCTAACTCTGTGGACATTCTAAAGACTGTTGGATTGTACACTTTAAATAGGCATATTATATAATATGTGAATTCTATCTTAATAAAACCAAAAAAATTGAAAACAGGGTCTGAAAACTTACACCCATGTTCATAGCAGAATCATTCACAATAGCTGAAAAGTGGAAGCAACCCAAGTGTCCATCAACAGATGAATGGATAAACAATATGTGGTCTATTCATACAACGGAATATTGTTCAGCCTTAAAAAGGAAAGAAGTTCTGACACATACTGCAAGACGGATGAACCTTGAGGATATTATGCTAAGTGAAATAAGCCAGTCACAAAAAGACAACTACAGGATTCCACATGAAGTACATAGAGTAGGCAAATTCATAGAGACAGAAGGTAGAATGGTGACTGCTAGGGGCTAGAGGGAGGGAGAAACGGGGAGTTGTTGTTTAATGGGTATAGAGTTTTAAGTTTGCAAGATGAAAAGAGTTTTGGAGATTGGTTGCACAACAGTGTGAATATACTTAATGCTACTAAACTGAACACTTTAAAATGGTTAAGGCCGGGCTTAGTGGTTCAGTCTGTAATCCCAGCAATTTGGGAGGCTGAGGCGAGCTAATTGCCTGAGTCCGTGGGTTGAGACCAGCCCGGGCAACTTGGTGTAGATCTCGTCTCTACAATAAATCAAAAATTAGCTGGGTGTGGTAGTGCACACCTGTAGTTGTGGCTACTTGGAAAGCTGAGCTGGAAGGCTCACCGAAGCCCAGCAGGTCGACGCTGGGGTGGCCATGAGCACGCCACTGCGCTCCAGCCTGGATGACAGAGTGAGATTCCAACTCGAATAAAGAAAAAAAGTGATTAAGATGGTAAATTTGTGTTATGTGTATTTTACCACAATGTTTTATTTTATTGTATTTTTATTTCAAAATGTGGGGTACAATTCAGGGTTAGGTATATAGATGGTCATTGTACAGGTAAAGGTTGGGCCTCACTTTGGTCCCCACTTCACCTGATTTGAGATCAGTTACCCTTATTGATGAAGTGTGCCCTCCCCCCTCCCCCGGCAGTTTCCCACTACTGCCAATCCCTTTCTTATAGCATTATGACAATTGTTCAGGGTCTGCTTATCAGTGAGAACATGGGGTACTCAGTTCTTTGTTTCTGTGGTAGATCACGGAGTGTTATAGACTCTAAATCCATCCAAGTTGCTGCGAAGTTCATAATTTTGTTTTTTATGGCTACATAATAGTCCATTGTGTATATGTACCCCATTTTTTTATCCAGTACACTTTTGATGGGCAGCACGGTTGCTTCCATGTTTTTGCTATTGTGAATAATGCTGCAATAAACATGCTTGGACAGGTATCTTTTTCATAGAGTGATTTGAGTTCCTCCAGGTATATTCCCATAAGGGGAATTGCTAGGTCATATGGAAGGTCAATTTTTAGATCTTTTAGGAATCACCACACTGTTTTCCACAGAGGATGTACTAGTTTACACTCACACCAACAGTGTAGAAGTGTTCCCTTTTCCTTGCATCCTCTCCAGCATCTGTTGTTTTTTGAGTTACTGATGATGGCCATCCTGAATGGAGTTAGGTGGTATCTCAGTGTGGTTTTTATTTGCACTTCTTTGATGATTAGTGAGGTTAAGCATTTTCTCATGCATCTATTAACTACTTGTGTGTCTTCTTTTGAGACGTGTCTATTCTTATTTTTTGCCCACTTTTTGATAGGGCTATTTGTTACCACAATGTTTTAAAAAGCTGGGAAACTGTGGTCTTTTTGCATCATTGCAGGAAACCACAGCCTGGATTCCTGTGATATTCCAAATTAATGATAGAAGAGCTTTCAAAACCTAGTATAGTTTCAGAAGAAAGTAATAGTCATATTCTGCTTAACTATTTTTTTTTTGTTTTTGAGTTGGAGTCTCACTCTGTCACCCAGACTGGAGTGCAGTGGCCGTTCCTGGCCACTGCAGCCTCGACCTGCCGGGCTCCGGTGATCCTTCCGCCTCAGCCTTCCAAGTAGCTGGAACTACAGGCGCACGCTACCACGCCTGGCTAATTTTTTATTTTATTGTAGAGATGAGGTCTTGTCAAGTTGCCCAGGCGGGTCTCGAACCCGCGGGCTCAGGCAATCCACTCACTGCAGCTTCCCAAAGTGCTGGGATTACAGGCTGAGCCACCGAGCCCGGCCTGCTTACCTATTTTAAAATTCTCAGGGGTGAGAATTATAAGTCAGTTACTCCAGACTTTTCTGAGATTGATACTAATTGATACTCATATTTTTTATTTGTTTATTCAATAAAAATTGATTGAGTGTCTGTTGTGTCCTAGGCATAGTGCTAAATGCTGGAGAAACAGTAGTGAGACATCACTGCCCCCACCCTTATAGGTCTTACAGTCTAATGACTGAATAAATTGGTGTGAAGCATGATTTGTCCATGTACAAATCTGGCTTCATAATCAGTTTCTGTTGGAGGCATTTTTAGTCCATTTTACAGGTGGAGAAACTGTGGACCAAAGGGGTTGGGAAGGTCCCCAATATTCCACAGCCTCCAAGTTCCATGCTCTTTCCGCATATCATAATACATCATCAAAATTTTGAACATTTTACTGAGTTAGAAGACTTAAAAAATAAAAATACAAAACCAAAACCCTTAAAGTAGTCTGTGTTGGCCAAGAGTGGCTGTTTCTCTAAAGTCCAGCAAGCCCTTAGCTTTGCTTTCCTGAACTTTGAGTTTCAGGCACACACCAAGCCCCAGAGAAGAGTAAATGCTGATGCCATGGAAACAGCAGTAGGTGGCACCACTCTGGGGCAGGAGTATTCATGCTCCTCTGACATGCGTGGCCAGGCTGTTGTTCACGTGAAATGATGCCCAACTAGACTAGGGACACCCAGGTTTGCCAATGTAAGTCATTCTTCCCTGATTAATAAAGGTTTAATGTCCAAGGTTATAAACTGCTGAGAGGGAGATAGGGAAAAAGCTAATCTATGCACTCTGTGGTCACCAAAATGTAAGCAATTCTGCTTTAGACCACTGGCTTGGAACAAGACAGATTCTCCATGAATCTGTCCTGTGGCTGTCAACAAGTTACTTTCCCTCTCTGAAACTAGAGTTTTCTTATGCATAAAATGAAAGTAATAAACCTTTCCTCAGAGAGATGCTGAGATTGGAGATGATGTATAAAAAGAACCAGGTGCATCATAGAACCTGAAAAATCACTACTATTGATGTTATTGTCATAGTTACAACAAGATTAATATTAGTAGCATGTCTCAGCAAATGGAATGTGTTAGTTATAGTTCTGACCACCCCAGCCCTGACCCCCAACAACTGTCACTACACCCACTCTTGATTTTTTCATCAACATCTGTCTCTTCTTCTCCATTTTTCTTTAACAGACATCACAGAGGATGAAACTTCACATATTCCCAGATCAGGGCACTTTCATAAGATGAATCAAACACCAGAACTTGAGTGAGCACCAGATGGAGATGAGGAAACCAGGAAGTATGTCATCAGGTAGCAGAGAAAGTCAAGGGAACTGATAGGTCCTTTACTGGGTCTCACCCTCTGCTATCCTGAGGACAGGCCTTTGTCAAACCTTCCCTAGCCAAATAAGCCTTGATTTTGTGTTTCAAACACTTCATCTTCCTTCAATAATCACATTCAATGTTGAACACTCCTCACTTTTAGAAGCTGTCTGACCCTAAACTCTCTGCTTCTTTTCCCTTCATCTTGCGGACATTTCACTTTTTCACCCATAGGCACTAGTGTTATACTCTGCACCATGAAGCACTTTGGTTTTGTTTTGTTTACTATTTTATGAGTAATTCCAAAGGAACATGTCCCTACAAATTCACTTTTCTGTAATCAGGGTAATTATATATTTTTAAATTTCCCCCTTTTATTTGCCTCATTCATTATTTGCCTCTGGAAGCGTATATTTTTATTTACCTTCTCTTAAATTAGATTTTTGTTTAATACCTGGGGGGGGGGGGGCGACAAAAAAACTTGTACAGCGAACCTGAAAGTATAAAGGTTGAAAGATGAGAACACACTGTGTTGCCCAGGTTGGTCTTGAACTCCTGGGCTCAAGTGATCCTCTTGCCTCTGCCTCCCAATATACTAGGATTACAGGCACAAGCCACTGTGCCCAGCAATGATTTTTTTTTAATAGAATATTTTGAATTTTATTTTCCTTCAAGAAAAAATTCACACACAGGAAATTCAAGGACTCAGAATCAATTTCTTTAATTGAAAGATTATTTAAATTTAAATATAAATTATAGAATAAATTGTTGGAATTGGCTACTGATGAAGCATAATGAAAATCTAGCAATGCTTGCCTAATTTGGAAATAATGAGTCTTGAATGTCTACTGTTGCAGATATTTTACAAGCTCATTTAATGTTCCTGTGAAGTTGAGATCCCACTTTACAGAAGAGAAAATTAAAGCTCAGAGAAGTAAAACAAAACAAACAAAAACCTTCACTAAGTTCATGTGTTTATTTAGTAAATATTAGAGCTAAACTAACATTCTTCCCATTATTCCTTGATGGGCCGTAGAACTCAATATTCACTAGCTGTGTGACTTAGGGGACTCTCTTAATCCTCTGTGCCTCAGTTTCCTTACCTGCAAAATCAAGAATCTAGATTAGGAACTATATGGTCTGAAGATATCTTTGCAGCTTTAACAATCTATGAGCATAAGGAGTGTGTGAACATGATTATAAGGATTGGTTGTTTTGGAGCCAATCAGAGGTATTAAATAAACACCTCCCTACCAGGTCAAGGTAAAAAGGGGAGGGCAAAAGTTAAAAAAAAAAAAACTGATGAAAAGTCTATAAAAACTGTGTGCAACCAAACATTCTTTCTATTTGGCAGCTGCTGCCTCACCTACAGCTTCTGACATCTAAGGGGCTCTTCTCTCCCAAACTGTAAGTTAGAAAACTTTCTTTATATACCTGAACTCTGCCAGTGAATAAGGGGTTAACAATAACACTTAGGCTGTAGAGGGGAAGGTTTGTTTGCTTTTGTTTTCAGGAAAAATTGATAGTGGCTGAAAAACAGGATGGATCTGCTCTAATGATTGTTTGTTTCTCTAAGCATGAATACTCACTCACTTTTCCTGGTTTGTTGAGGGATGGCAAAATGCTCAAGATTAACTGCCAGTTAAATGTGTTATATGTTTGAGACACCTGTGAATCTCTGGACTAGAAGAAACAACTTGAACATTTCTATTAGTTTAGGTTCTAACCAGTTTTTGAGATTCCTGATCACTTAGACCCTCTTTTCATAACAACTACTTATTTCAGCGATTGATTTACATATCTATGGCCTTATGTCATTTTCTACATTCTCTTCCCACACCTACTAGTACAAGTACTGAAGTTTCTTTGTCACAGAAACGAACCCTGGGAATGTTTTGCTCTTTGCCTTCACCCACTGCTCAAATAAGGAAATGATACAGGGTTGGAAACTTCACAGAGCATAGTTATCATTTGATTATGAATTTTCAAACACTCCACTTGTTTGATACTCTAGAACATTTCCTGCCAGCACTAGACATTGTGAGAACACTACATTTAAGATATTAGGAATCAAAAGCTGTTGTATTTTGGTACATTTGCTCAACTATGTGAAAAACAGGCATGTGGTAAAAATACGTTGCCTTTTAAAATAAACTTTCTTTAAATAGTTACCTAGAACCCTGTTAGCTAATTTGGATGCAGCAGGGGTTTGAGCTCTGCTGCGGTGGTATGCATCACTTTAGCCAAGGCATGCCTGGGGAGCACCCAGGTCCAGGTTAGAGCTGGAGACACTGGGACAGGGAATGAGGAATTGTTGCTGAAAGCCTAGGAGTTCCTTTGGCTCAGATGCAAGCTTAGAGTAAAAGGCACCACTCAGGTCTCTTACTGGGCTGCTCACACATGTTCAAAGGCACCAGATTTCAGGCTGGGCATTGGGGTGGGTAATGAAGCTGTGGGCATCTTCATGCATCATGTGTAAAATTGCTGCATACAATGCTGGCCTGGTTATTACAGGCTTTCTTCCTTTTTTTTTTGAAGCAGGGTCTCACTGTGTCGCCCAGGCTGGAGTGTAGTGGTAAGAACACAGTCACCTCAGCCTTGACTTCCTGGGATCAGGTGATCCTCCTGCCTTAGCTCTGGAGTACCTGGAACTACAGGCGCATACCATCATTCTCAGCTAATTTTTTTTTTTTGAGTTGGAGTCTCAATCTTTCACCCAGGCTGGAGTGCAGTGACAGACTCACAGCCAGCCCAGCGTCAACCTGCTGGGGTCTCGTGATCCTTCCACCTCAGCCTTCCAAGTAACTGAAACTACAGGCACACGCCACCACACTCAGCTAATTTTTTATTTATTGTAAAGACAAAGTCTCGCCAAGTTGCCCGGGCTGGTCTTGAACCCGTGGTCTCAGGCAATCCCTTTGCCTCAGCCTCCCAAAATGCTGGGATTACAGGCTGAGCCACTGAGCCCAGCCTTTAAAAAAATTTTTTTGTAGATATGTGGTCTTGCTATGCTATTCAGGCTGGTCTCGAACTTTTGGGCTCAAGCAATCCTCCTGCCTTGGTTTCCCAAAGTCCTGGGATTACAGGCATGAGCCTCCGTGCCCACCCTGCAGGCTTTCAATGAATAAGCTCCCTTATGTTTGTCTGAAAAATCCATCTGCCTTGCACGTAGAGAAGCAGATGGACTCTCTGCTGCCTTATATGTCTCCAGGTGTTAAATATCCATAATTGACAAATGATTATTATCATTTCAAAGTACTGCTTCAAGAAAAGGCAGAAAGAACCATACCATAGGGCTCCATTTGCAATTTTGCTGAATAGAATTAGAGATAAGATTTCAAGTCATAAGCCAGTAGGATGTGACTTGCAAAATCCTAGAACATCACAATTTAAGTGTGTCAGATATAGTCTTTCTGGGCCCCAGTTTCCTTATTTCTAAAGTGACAGGGTTGATGTAAATATCTCTGAGGCCACTTGTAGCTCTGTTTTTCTGTGACTATCTTCTATTGTTAATACTTACAACCTTCTCCCATATTTGTATACATGTTACCTGTTACATACATGTATTAAATCAAATATATATGTAGCTGTTCATTAAGAAATCAAACATTACAAAGAACATATAAAATGAAATGTGAGAGTCTTTTCACCCTATCCCATTCTCCAGAGGTAAATCCAAGGTGATTACTCTTTCTTTATGTAGAGCCACAAACAGTATATATGCATATCATTTTTTTTAAATTAAAGAGTGGGATGATAGTACACATTACATACTTTTGAGATTTGCTTTTTTCACTTAATAATATAATGTGAATAACTTTCCACCACACTTTTTGAAAAAAGTTGCCATAAGACCTCAGTAAACAGAATCTTAGAAGCACAGGAATCACTTTCTGTTGTTACCCATTCCTAGCCAGCCTCCTGTCTCCTGGTGGTGACATTGGCCTGTGACCCTGTTTTATGATTAACAGAGAAGCAATGTTTGTGCTGATGTGGTACAGACCTTTAATCCCTCTGTAGAAGTTTAACTTCCTGTTAACAGTATTAGTTTGACTTGACCTTTTCTCTATTATCCTGGTTGAGTCAGCACACTTAGATGGAAGAAAATAGCTTGTAAACAGGCAGGAAGTAGAAACATGGAGGTCGCTTAGGTGATTATTTTTCTTAAAAATTAAAAAAAGAGAAATAGTCTGGGTGTGGTGGCTCATGCCTATAATCCCAGCACTTTGAGAGACCAAGATAAGAGGATTGCTTGAGCCCAGGAGTTCAAGACCAGCATGGGCAACAAAGCAAAACGTAGTCTCTAATTTAAATAAATAAATAAAAAGAGAAGTAGTAATACTTTGTATTTTCTTAATGCTTTAGAAAGCATCTTCATGTTTATCATGCAATTCAGCAAATATATTTTGAGCAACTACAATGAGCAGAGTGCTCACGGATTGCATTTGCTTCACCTGGCAATGAGACAACCAGAGCAATTATTATCACCATTTAATCCATAGCAAACCCAAACTCAGCAAAATGGTCTGATTTGCTCAAGGTTCCAGCAATAGGAGGCAGAGCTGGTTCTTGAATCTAGGTCTGTCTGATCTACTAGCAGCAAATCTCTACATGAATGTGTCAGATATTTATGAACTGGTAATGTCAGTGGAGAATGACCCAAAACCTGTGGTATTCTGGGGTTTTATCAAGGGTATTAGGAGTCATCAAAAGGCCAATTCTTTTTACCAGGCTCACTCTTTCCTTTGAATAGTGGAGTACTGCCCCTTATCCCAACTCTGTGCCTTATTAGCTATTTGTTCTTGGACAGATAATTTATACTTTCTTATATTATTTCCTAATATATTAAATGGGAGGGAAAAGAGTCCAACTGACTTTTGGGATTATTTTGAAGAATAAATTATATAGTGCATATGAAGTAACTAGCAGAGTACTTGGCAATATATGATGATTTGTTCTTATTATTGGAATATTTTTCTTTTGTTTCATTAATAAAATATTTTTTTTTAGTAATTGAAAATTCCTTCGTGCAAATGCCTAAACTGAGAGAAAAATGTGCACCTTGATCTGAAGGTCATCACCCACCCCCTAGGTTGGCTTTTGTCAGCAAGACAATCTGAAGACCAGGTCCAAAGCTAAAAAATCCTTGACTCCAGTATTACAGGCTAATATAGAAAAAGAACAGACACCATCTGCTGGTGGCTGGAATGTGATGGACCTTGGAAGATCATCTTCTCTAGAAATTGTTGCCCACTAATTTGTTCTATTTTCCTAATTATAGCATTGCAGTTCCCATTTGGGGGATTAAGGTATAAACTTCCATTGAAGTGGAGGGTAGCAACAATGAGTTACTCCTTCACATGAATTAGTTTATTAGTCATCTACTCTTATGTTGAAGGCAAGAGCACTCAGAGCCTGAAAGGATGCAGAAAACATGGAGAAGTAGATTTGTCATGAGGATCAGGGCTAGATGGGGAGCTCTGCCTCTTCCCAGTGAAGACCTTGGACAATTCAGTTAACTTCTCTAAATCTTAGTTCACTTATTAATTAGGGACCGTAATACTTGCTATGATGCCTCATTACTGAGTAGAACAAATGAGAACTGAAGTGTCTCTGGGTTTCCAGGAAGTAGTTTGTAGTAAAGGGGCATCCACCCTATGTTAAGTATATTGGAGGTAGAGATTAGAGAAAGGAGGAAACTGCAGGATTGGATAGAAAGATACTCAAGATAATCTTCACTACCATTTTTTTCTTTAATAGCCCAATCTATGCAAAAATTACTCTTTATAACACCCCAGGTGGGGGCTCTGTGAGCTTGATTTTCAAGACTAACCCAAAGTGGCTGCCAAACAGGGGTAATGATCCTTATCAAGGGACCACTGTTGAGGAGGCTGCTTAGGTAGGGGGTCTTTGAGAAGTCTTTCCTTACTGAAGCATTGAAGCTGGAGTATGGATCACTATATGAGTTCAGCATTCTGAGAATCGATATTCCACAAGCACTTAGGAAGAATCCTCCGCAGTGTCCTAAGTTGTCTCATAGGTGGTCGAATAAAAGAAAAAGGAACCTTGTACCTCACCATCTATGGCTCAAAGTCAAAGGGGGGGTAACTTAATGTCTAGTGCAGATTTCTCCTCTCTAGCTTGTTGCCTGGGGAATAATCTGATGTGACTACAGGCTAACAGAGCAAAGTGAGAGATATCCATAGAGGCCCAGGGCCTCGTTTTCCTGGCCTCAAGACATTGACGACACTTGGTGGCATCAAGAATCTACAGAACAGAGAGATAGCCCATTGCTACAGTTCCTTCTATTTGTCAGATTTTAGTGGGTCACTTGTTAGCTAGTTCAGTCTCAGAATCAGTGATCCCAAAGATCTCTTTGGAAGCATTCTATTTAAGATCACCATGAATGTTTGGCATCCCACGTTCATCCATTGTGGCTCCTTGCAACTACTTAGGTGAAGGGGAACAAAACAGACCTCATTTGTTTATCCAGCTGTGGAAATGAATAAAAGTGTCAGAGGAGTCTGTACAATTTGTTTGCATACTCTGACTGTCTTGGTGATGAATCCATCTGAGCCACCTGCAGTTCTGTGCGTGACTCTCCTGTACTCTTTTTCAGACCCATCACCATGGCCCACCGGTTTCCAGCCCTTACCCCAGAGCAGAAGAAGGAGCTCTCAGAAATCGCCCAGCGCATTGTTGCCAACGGAAAGGGGATCCTGGCTGCAGATGAATCTGTAGGTGAGTGTAAGAAGCAGTCACATCACATAACAGCATACTCTTGTTTCTATCTTAGCAAAGGCAACTTGATAATTGTATTGTCCTTCATCTTAGAGGAAGTAAAGTGTTATGTACACAAGAGTAGGAGAAGGTTAAATAAGGATAGATCTTTTAAGTCCTGTAGTTCTAGTAGGAAAATTACTGAAAACTAAGGGAAGAGACTCAAGCCCTCCATTTAAAGGCTCATTGCTAGAGGTTATTTGAATCTGGCCTGCAGCAAGGCCTGGAACTCAGTAGCCAGGACAAGGTCAAATACCTCTGCTAATGAGAAGTCAGTTTAAAGTCAGTCAACTCAGGAAGGGCAGGAAAAGTATCTGCTTGGAATAGGGCAGGGCTTATGGCTGAGAGAATCTCAGAATTGTACAAGGGAGAATTGTAGCAGAGTTGCATAGCCTATCATAAAAGGATAGAAACAAGAAAAGTCAAGAGCCTGTCCCATCCCTCTTTCCATTGTTATGTACATCCAGTGAGATTGAGGACTGGATCAGGGGATAGCTAGAGAAACCTGGGGGCCTTACATATCCACCTGGACCCAATGATGGCTTCCACACTGACATCTACATTTCCAGCCCATATACTTCCTAACCAGCATCTCGACAGCAACCAGGATCTTCCCTCTAAGAGACAAAAAAATGAGGCAGGAGTTTGAAGATCTGAATAAAGAATCTTTCTTTTCTGATGAGGATCACTAAAGATGATTCAGAGCAAGGAAACAGGAAAGCCCTGGCTTGCTTCTTATGCTGTCCTTGGCCCATCTACCCCAGGCACCATGGGAAACCGCCTGCAGAGGATCAAGGTGGAAAACACAGAAGAAAACCGCCGGCTGTTCCGAGAAATGCTCTTCACTGTGGACAATTCTGTCAACCAGAGCATTGGGGGTGTGATCCTCTTCCATGAGACCCTCTACCAGAAGGACAGCAAAGGAAAGCTGTTCAGAAACATCCTCAAGGAAAAGGGGATCGTGGTGGGAATCAAGGTGAATACTTCCATTCACACGTCACCTCTGCCTTTGTCCTAGGAAACCTGCCAGCACACTGGCTAGAGAACCAACACTCTGAATATCCTCAACTTCTAATTTCTCTTCTCACTCTTTTCCAGTATCATCTTCCAAATGAGAACTGGATCCTTTTCTAGACTTTTCCTCCAGTGTCCCATTCTTTCAGTCAAGTTTTCTATCACATACTTAATCTCATTCAATTTCCTCATTTCTTAAAATGGGATTCCCACTTTTTAAAAATAGTAATCTACCTCATAATGTTCCTAAAAGAGTGAAATTTGTTTTTTAAAGTTTGTGTCACATAAAATTATACATTTAATAGTGGTTACTAATTATTAAAGCACTTACTGTTTTATCTTGTAACTAAATCTTCCAATAGTGCATGAACTTCTCAAGAGTGGAAACTAGTACTCATTGAGTGCTTACCATTTCAAGCACTTGTTTAATCCTCTTAATCTCTAGAAGTAGTCTAAATTATTACCCTTATTTCAGAGATGAGGGGAGAAAACTGAACTACAAGGGATAACTTGTCCACAAAGTGAGGCAAAGTTAGAGCTAGTTTAGGTTATCTAACTCTGGAGCTCATAATCTTAGCAACAAACTTATAAAATTAAAAAAAAAATGTAGAGGTTGTATCCTTATTCTCTTTACCTCCTGAACTGACACAATGCCTGGTGTGTGTAATTGCTCAATAAATGTCAGGCTAGACATTCTCACCTTGTTTCTTCCAGCTAACTTCCTTTCTGTGATTGACTAAATTGTGCCCCCCCCACCCCAATGACTAGTCACACCTTCCTAATTCAATTCCTTAGCTTGTAAAAATATGAATTATTAGCTCAAGGAGTTTTGTTTGTGTTTTATTGTTGCCTGCTAATTACTTGTTAATTATTTCTATCAATAGTTAGACCAAGGAGCTGCTCCTCTTGCAGGAACAAACAAAGAAACCACCATTCAAGGTAGGGATATTACCCATGGATATAAATCATGCCAATGTACAAGGGGGGACCCCCAAAGAAACCCAGAATTATTTTTTAGAGGGTGGGCCCCTTGTGGTACATACAGGCTTCCCCCACTAGGTAATTGTTCTAGGAACCCATTGGCATTAGTATACCAGCTAGCATTGTTGTGAGAGGCTTCAGCAAATATATATATTTTTGAGATTCTTTCAACACGTTTGCCCATTTAATGATGGGTGATTTATAAGCGCACCTGTCCACAACATACTGAGTGTTCAGCAGTTTTTGACCAAAAATGGCATGATCTCTGTGCCCCACCCTTCCTATTCACCCAATGTCTCAAAGGGAAATGTTTTGCTGATGTGGAAGAGGTGAAACAAAAAAACAGCAGACGCATTAAAAGGCATCGAAATGTACATGTTCAAAAACTGTTTTGAGCAGTGGAAAAACTTCTTGATAGGTGCATTACATCAAATGGAGAGTACTTTGAAGGCAACAGATGTTTAAACATGTAAGAAAGAACAATTTTTTAATAAATAAATTCTGGGTTTGGGGGAGCCTCCTTGTATGCTAGAAATGAAGGCAAGTAAAGAAGGGAGCAAAGTAAAACAAAATATTACCATTAAACTGGTCATAGAGTCACATACACATCTGGTTTTCAATCCCAGCTCCTCCATTTAATAACTGTGTGACGGTAGGCCAGTCAATTGTTCTGAGCCTCAGTTCTCCTATCTCAAGAAGGGATACCTGTTGTGGGGATTAAATTAGGTAATGTAGATAAAGTAGATACTCTGTACCTAGAAATATTTTTAGAGACAAATCTAGCAGTAGTAGAGAGAAAGGACCCCAAAGCAAGAGATCAGGCACATCTGGGTTTGAATTCTGGTTCTATCATATGCTATTTAATTTTGCAAGGTATTTCACTGCCCAAGTGGACAAATATTAGACACAGTATTGGGTTAGCTAAGCAGAATTTGAGCCCCAGTTTTGTCACTCTTTAATAGTTCAAACTTGATAAAATCACTTAACCATTAGAGGTCTCAGTTTCCACATCTATAAAATGAGTACAATATTAACTATTGGTTTCCTGTATTCTATTTATGGAGTAGGCAGTATGTACATAAAAACCATTTTAATTAAATCTAAGTTTTCTGGTCTAGTATTGTGATTAATGCTTACATGCTTGGCTTGCTCATACTTCAGTTCTGTGGACTGAAAACTAAGCCTAGGGGAGAACTCCTTTACTTTATCATAGGCCCCATGGATCAGGTACAGGGGTGCAAAAAAGCCTTTCTCTCTTTTGTGACTTGCAGGGCTTGATGGCCTCTCAGAGCGCTGTGCTCAGTACAAGAAAGATGGTGCTGACTTTGGGAAGTGGCGTGCTGTGCTGAGGATTGCAGACCAGTGTCCATCCAGTCTTGCTATCCAGGAAAATGCCAATGCCCTGGCCCGTTACGCCAGCATCTGTCAGCAGGTGCTCTGTCTTCCCCTTGGGCTAAAAAATAAATCATAGGCTAGAGCTCTCTTCAGAGTCTTTCTTTTCAATTTTACTAAAACCACACAAGGGCCCTCCTCTTCCCCTCACTAGTATATCCTAGTGGCACTTTTCACTACTTTTGCTATAGTCAAGTGTGGTAGAAAAAGATTTTGGTACCACAAACCAGTAGGAGTCCAACTAAGCTATGAATTCAAAGGCTAATGTCACCAACTGCTGGCCCTCTGCCAAAACTCTGTAAGTTGTCTTTAAAATGATCAGGCTAAAAATGTGGTACATATACACAATGGGATATTATGCAGTCATAAAGAAGGAAAAATTATGAACTTCACAGCAACTTGGGTGGACTTAGAGTCTATAATACTGAGTGATCTATCACTGAAACAAAGAACTGAGTACCACATGTTCTCACTCGGGTGGACCTTGAACAATTATCATAATACTTTAAGAAAGCAATTGGCCAGGCATGGTGGCTCAAGCCTATAATCCCAGCACTTTGGAAGGCCGAGGTGAGGGGATTGCCTGAGCCTACAGGTTCAGGAACAGCCTGGGCAACTTGGCGAGACCTCATCTCTACAATAAATCAAAAAATTAGCCAGGCACGATTCCAGCTACTTGGAAGGCTGAGGCAGAAGGATTGCCTGAGCCCAGCAGGTCAATGCTGGGGTGGCCGTGAGCATGCTACTGCATTCCAGCCTGGGAGATGGAGTGAGATTCCGGGGGGGATTGGCAGTAGTTGGAAACTGCCGGGGGGTGGGTGGGGGGATTGGCAGTAGTGAGAAACTGGGGGGGGGGGCGCACACACCTCATCAACAAGGGTACTTGCATAATGAACATTTGTATACCTATCCCTGACTTGTACCCCACATCTTCAAAAAAACAAAATGATCATGCTCTTGAGGCCAGGGCACATGCTTGTATATACTCCATAATGTCCAAGATATGACCCTCTTTGATCCCTAATGGGAGGGTGATAGATCCAATCAAGTCCCAATCTAAATAATTTGAGGAGGTGACTTGATGCTAAAGTTTTCAACACTTTTTGAAGTGTCCCTGGGTCCAACCTAAGTTTGATTTTCTCCTGTGGGTACTACATTAAGGTTACTGTAGTCGTGGGCACCTGGAGATTCCCAGTGAGAACTGTAGACACTGCTTGAATTCCTTCATTAGCCCACACCAGAGGCATCTTTCTTGGTGACTTGAGCCCAGCTGTCCTAAAAGGGTAGCAGCTAGATTCTGAGATACCCAGAATAGTCTCTAGAAAAAGATATAGAAATTAAAAAATTGTACTTATTTTTTACTCCATTCTGAAAAATTTCATCTAACCTCACTGTTCCTTTTTGGCTAAGCCACAAACACTCACTAGATAGTCCATCAGTTTATTTTTACTGCCTTTAAGTCACCTGTATAGTATTTCTCCATAAGGGTTTCATATTATACTAATAACAATTGCTGAATCTCCTCCTAAGGAAAGGATCACAGTGAACACAGCTTCACTTTTGTTTCCCTGATTTTTCTTTTTAGAATGGACTGGTACCTATTGTTGAACCAGAGGTAATTCCTGATGGAGACCATGATCTGGAACACTGCCAGTATGTTACTGAGAAGGTAAGTCTTAAATATAAAGGTCTCAATTCTAGTTGAAAAATCTGTTACTTAACATATCACAGGTGTTGCATTTGAAACAGTCTTTAGGTTAGAATCACTATGTAGCATTGAGATAGTTAGGAGGTACTTACCAATCCTTTACTTTTTTAGTACATGGTATGCTCCCTATGGAGAAAGCACAGGATATGTAGTGTCAAGACTTGGGTTGGAGAATCCACTTTCTCATTTGTAGGATCTTGGGCAAGTCTTATTATCTCTCTTGACCTCAGTTCCATTATGTGTACATAAGAAATTTTAAAATAAGATATGAGACTTTTATGAGAACATATAATTACAAAGTATTTTATTCACATTGTACTTTCTAAATTAGCCACAGCATATCTGAAAGAGGGTGGTTCTATTCTTACACTGTGAAAAAGTAAGAGAGTCATAATGTCACCCAACCTTAGTTTGTCCACTTGCAAAATTAAATGGACTGAAATGAGATCTAAAAGCACCGCTTTCTCTAAAATGTAATATTTTTATGATCACTCAGCTGTGTGGGGACAGAGAGTGGAGTTTCAATGTCCTGAACTAGCTAAATTAAGGCAGTCTCAATAGGGGATGACAGCTGAGGAAGTAATGGGAAAAAAGGAATGAAGGGCCTCTTGGAAGCAGAGATAGGCCATTAGCTCATGCAGTGGAGCAGCCAGATTAGGGATATAGGCCAGCTTGGCTGTGCTCAATGGCTGTGGTTTGCAACACATTGCCCTGGTGAGGCCTGGGGGATGGTTCCAAAGCATTCTCCAAGTAACATAAGGGAATCCTGCATTGTAGACGTGCCAGGTTTAAGTGACTCTAAGTCGAGTTCTGAGTTTCACCTGTTTGAACCTCTTGTCCTTCAGGTCCTGGCTACTGTCTACAAGGCCCTGAATGACCATCATGTTTATTTGGAGGGCACCCTGCTGAAGCCTAACATGGTGACTGCTGGGCATGCCTGTACCAAGAAATATACTCCAGAGCAAGTGGCTATGGCCACTGTCACAGCCCTTGATCGTACTGTACCTGCGGCTGTTCCTGGTAATGCCTGCTTTCTTCTTTAGTTCAAAATCTTAGCCCTTATCCTTTGAAGGAGAGCCACAGCATTTGTGTTTGTCCAGGAGTCTGCTTCTATTCATGAAAGGGACCTCTACTGTCTCATAGGCAACCCCTCCCACTCTAGGATGCCAGGCATCCTGAGTCTGTAGAAATGCATGCAATCCATTTATTTCCTTAACATTTCACTGCCCTCCTTATATATTTAAAGCACTTCTCTCCTTTGCCTGACTAGCTTTTGCAAAGGTAAGTTGGTTTCTCTGACCCAGTGTCATGCAATTCAAGCAAAGAAAAGATAGAGATGTTGCATTTCTTGTAGCCTCGGTGCTTGCTTTCTTAAGCAGGGTACATAAGCTGACATTAATAGAGTGGAATGGCTTCTCTCCTATCAGGCATCTGCTTTTTGTCTGGCGGCATGAGTGAAGAGGATGCTACTCTAAACCTCAATGCTATCAATCTTTGCCCTCTACCAAAGCCCTGGAAACTAAGTTTCTCTTATGGACGGGCCCTGCAGGCCAGTGCACTGGCTGCCTGGGGAGGCAAGGCTGAAAACAAGAAAGCAACCCAGGAGGCTTTTATGAAGCGGGCTCAGGTAAGACGCTGCTACCTCTTATCTAATTGCTCAAGTTCATACTTGTGGCTTGACTTTCTTACATAAAGAAGCATTGCTGGTAGTACAGTTGGTGACAGTAGATTGAAGGCCAAGTTCAACAGAGACAATTAAAAGGGAAGAGGCCAGGCTCAGTGGCTCAGCCTGTAATTCCAGCACTTTGGAAGGCTGAGGCAAGTGGATTGCCTGAGCCTGTGGGTTCAAGATCAGCCTGGGCAACTTGGCGAGATCTTGTCTCTGCAATAAATTTTAAAAAAAATTAGCCAGGCATGGTAGCACACACCAGTAGTTCCGGCTACTTGGAAGGCTAAGGCAGAAGGATTGCCTGAACTCAGCAGGCCAACGGTGGAGTGGCCGTGAGCATGCCATTGAACTCCAGCCTGGGCGACAGTGTGAGACTCCAACTCAGAAAAAAAAAAGGGAAGAAGATACATGAGCCAAGGTCTGAACTTAGGACATCTTTCATTATGGGAAGATGATGAAGAGAAGTCATCAAGAAAAGCAATAATTATATAATAGAATGAACTAAGGATTCTGGGAACAAACAGAAAATAATTTCAGAGACAGTAATAACATGCTACAGAAAGAGTCAAAACAAAGGCTGAGAAAAGGCTCTGAGACTGACATTTAGGGGCATATAAGTGACCTTTAGCAAAACAGTTTCAAAAGAGAGAAGAGGGAAGGTGCTCATTCAAGAAGTTTGCCAGGAAAAGACCCAGAGGTTATCGGAAGAAATGAGAACAAGAAAAGCTTTTATTCAACCAGAATCATGACTTTTTTAATACCTTCTATCAGCCAGGACTGGAGTGAACAAATCCCACACAGTCATGGCCCTTAGGGAGCTTGACGTCTAGCCAAACAGGTATGTTTAAATGTAAAGCAAGCAGAATCAGAGGAGAGAGTAAAGATGAGGAGAATGAGAATTGCAGAGAGGATTTAGAGGAAATGTGATTGTGTGAGACTAAATATTAAACATAGGTGGCATAGTTGATCTTAAAAAGAGACAAAAAAGAGGCAAGAGACAGAAAAGAAGAGAATGGGTTTGGAATCAGCTCTGTAAACGTGAAGAGATGTAGCAGTTGATGACATTACAGTGAGGATAGAATAATAAGCAAATAGGGATTTTAATCCTGACAATGGGGGCAGTTAGAATAACTATTGAAGGAATGTGTAGAAAATTGACTAGACATTATGGTCAAAAATTATAGCCAAGTATCAAGTAAGGTACAGTTGAAATAAGAGTGAGTTTGTGGTATATTAGCTTCATCACTGAATTTTCCTAACAGCCCTAAAGCATGCAGGAAGATTCGGATAAACCTGATTAGGAAATAACAGTGAAAAGAGTAAAAATTTAATAGGAAGATAGGAGAGTGTCAAATTTTAGTGATAGCCTCATTTAGTTTGTTGACCAGAAAGGACGTAGGTCAAGAAATCAAGGGTAGTCAGAATTGCTATGATGAGGCCTTAAAGGAAAGCCCCAGGGAAGCTGAAAAATCATCTCAGGGGCATAAGAGAGGCATGAGATTTTAGAGGTAGTACTTTACTCTGAGGATGGAAAGCAAGGAATGGCTATGCTGGTGTGTGCCTGGTGGGGTGGGGAGATGTAGCTCACGTGATGGAGGGAGGGTCAGAAGGTCACCCTACTATAGTTAACATCAGAATAGAACTTATTCCTTCCTATCTAACCATATTTTTATGCCTATTACCAGTCTCTTTTCATTCTTCCCTTAAAGGGTATGTATGGATCTGATTCGCATGAGGGGATTTTTATTGTTGTTATCTTTTTTATTGACATATAATTGTACATATTTATGAGGTATCTGTGATGTTTTGATACATGTACAGTGTGTGGTGATCAAATCAAGGTAATTAGGGTATTTAGTCCCTCAAACATTTATTATTTCTTTGTGTTGAGAACATTTGAAATTTTTTCTTCTAATTATTCTGGAATACATCATAAGTTATTATACACTAGAACTTATTGCTTCTATCTAACTGTATTTTTGTACCCATTACCTACCTCTCATCATTCTTCCCTCTGCTTAAAGAGCTTGTTAAAATACAGATTGTGGGCCCCACCCACTAAGTTTCTAATTCAGTAGGACTGGGGTAAGGCCAGAGAATTTCCATTTCTAACAAGTTCCTAAGGGATGCTGTGATGTAAGATGTAGATATAAGTTCTAGAGAGAACAAATAATAGCAACAGGGACTGGAAGAATTAGTACTACTGGGCAGCATTCAAATATTATCACAGGTTTCATAATTCTGAATTTACTTTTCATTGGATTTTACACAGGAAATCAAAATGATACTATGAGAACAACTACGTAAAAATTACATATTCTTGTGGAAAATATGGGTGGAAAATGGAAAATTTGTAAAAACTAAACACTTTTTCTTTGCTGTAGCATACTGTACCACTGAGATGTTCTTTAACTTTAATTTCCAGTATTGTTGATACTGAAAAGAGATTTTGTCAGAATTTGACACAAACCTCAGGTTTGCCAAACAAATGTTCAGAAGACTGGGATAAAAAAGGGAGATGGTATCAGCAGGAATATTCGGCAACATCACTGTAAGAAGAAAAAAATTCCAAATGAAGGTGTGGCTGGTTTCTCATGAGAAGTAGACAAGGTCAAGGAGGCTCTGCATCCTCTCTAACTCATCTCTTCTCACCCTTGTTTTCTAGGCTAACTGCCAGGCGGCCAAAGGACAGTATGTTCACACAGGAACTTCTGGTGTTGCTTCCACCCAGTCACTCTTCATGGCCTCCTATACCTACTAGGACCTGGTGCCCATCAGGCTGGCTCCAGCACTTCTAGTGGGAGGGCTGAAAGGGAACAACTATTCCACCACCTCTGGAAATTAGACAAAATTAGACTGGAACTGCTGGAAACACAATGCATGTTAAATCTTAAACACAAGGGGAAAAAAAATCAGCTATTGAAACATAAGAAAGAATATTAAGAAACTGATGAAATTTCACACAATAGTTCCCTTGCAACACTTTCAGCTCCCCTTGCCCCAGAGTACCTACCCAAGATAACAATAGGCTTTAAAACCAAAATCATCTCTTCATCCAAATAACAACTACCAAATGAAACATCTCAAAAGCTAAGTGCAGAAAAGTGCATCTCATGAAACAATCTCAGCAACAGTAGACTGGGAAAGAGACAGCTGCAACCACAAAATAAATGTTCTATAAACCTTCAGTTGGTATTGGGTTTCACTTTTATGCTCTTATTGAAGGATTCAGTATATTTCATTTACCTTTGACTCTACTACACATGACTGGGGTTAATGGCTAAGGTCATTAGTATATTTCACTACCTTTGACTCTACTAGACATAACTCAACTTTCGCTACTCATTGGAATCAAATGGCAAAATTCTAAAACCCAGATGCTCAGGCTCAGAAACACTAGACATAAGATCCTCTAACAGATTTTTTTTTTTTTTTTTTTGAGTCAGGGTCTCACTCTGTCACCAAGACGGAAGTGCAGTGGCATGATCAAGGCACATTGCAGCCTAGAACTCCTGGGCTCAAGTGATCCTCCTGCCTCAGCCTCCTGAGTAGCTGGGACTATAGCACATGCCACCACATACAGCTAATATTTTGATTTTTTTTGTAAAGACTAAGGTTTCACAATATTGCCCAGGCTGGTATCAAACTCCTGGGCTCAAGCAATCCTCCTGCTTTAGTCTCCCAAAAGTCCTGGGATTACAGGTGTGAGCCACTATACCCAGCCCTCTAACAGATTTTTTTAAAGCTCCCTAAGTGATTCCAATGTGCAATCAAGTTTGAGAACTACCAACCTAAATTTCAAGTTTGAGGATATTTGAAAATTAAATCCATTCATAATATGAAGTCAGCTAAAATGTAGAATAATTTTGAGCAACTTGTGGAGTATAATGAGAATCAATGTGATTTTGATGCTTGGAGCATTCCTCTTCAAGTGGCCCAGACTTGGTGATGTAGGACTACATTTTCCTCTGCACATCCAAGTTTATTTTCTAGTTCTGTGGTAAATAATATTTACATAATATACTGTATTGGTTTTCAATTTTCAGCATTAACCCAAAGAAGAAGCATTTAAGACAACCATAGTTATGAATTATAACTTTGGCTGGGCATGGTGGCTCACGCCTATAATCCCAGCACTTTGGGAGGCAGAGTCAGAGGACTGCCTGAGTCCAGGGGTTTGAGACTAGTCTGGGCAACTTGGCAAGACCTCGTCTCCACAATCAAAAAAAAAAAATTAGCTGAGCATAGTGGCACATGTCTGTAGTTCCAGCTATGTGGAATGCTGAGGGGGAAGGACTGCCTAAGCTCAACAGGACAAGGCTGCGGTAGTCATGATTGTCTGACTGTACTCCAGCTTGGGTGAGAGAGTGAGACTCCGACTCAAACAAAGAAAGGCGGGGGGGGGGGGGAAGGAGGGAGAAAAGGAAAAAAAGAAGAGGAAGGGGGGGGAGAGGGAGAGAAAGAGAGCGAGGGAGAGAGGGAGGGGAAAGCAAGAGCGAGAGCGAACGCATGTGAGCATGTGCACCAGGTGTGGTGGCACATGCCTGTGGTTCTGGGGTTCCAGTTACTTGGAAGGTTGAGGCAGAAGGATCACCTGAGCCCAGCAGGTTGAGACTGTGGTGGCCATGAGTGTGTCACTGCATATCAGTCTGAGTGACAGAGTGAGATTCTGACACACACAAAAAAAAGAAAGAAAGAAAGATCAGGTAATATATTTTTTTAAAGTCACAAAAGTATAACTTTGGACAATATAAAAGTGATGATTTAGCTAACAAAAGCTAGGAAGTATTAGGGGGTGGAGAAGTAGAGAAAAGCCAGAGGAGCAAGAATACTACTTCAAACTGATAGATTAAGAAATAGTGGCAACCCCTTCGAATCCTCTCCCACTGTAGGAGCTTTTCTGTCCTCTCAATAAATCCTGCTATAAAAAAAAAATAAGGAAATAGTGCTTTAAGTCTATTTAAGTAATAAAGGAAATGAACATAAACTTTTAAACTAAAATACAGTAGGTATTAAACTAAATTTGTTTTGAATGGTACAAAGACAAATAATATTGCAGCATAGGTAAGTTAATAAATGAAGAAATAGAGGCACAACATAATATTTAGAGGAATAAGACAGAATTGGTCCAAAGGGCTTATTCTAAGGAGAAAGACTTAGAAGTGGGGCAGGGATGGAGACTTTTAGTTATTATGTGGACTACTACAGTATTTGAATATTTGTTTCTATGACCTTGTCATTACTTTTCTAAAAACAACTATATTCTTATAAGCAATTCAAACCTACCTTAGAAATCATTCAGCCTAGGGCTTTCATCTTATAGATGACAAAACCAAGACCAGAGCAGTTCAATTACTTGCTGAGGTTACACATTTAGAGTAGAGCCGAGAAATTAGAATTCAGGTCTCTTGCTCATGTAATACTCGTAGACATAGCCCAGAATTACAGGGCAAGGCTGCAGGCAGTATTTAACGCCTCTGCTAGTGCTGTTGTAGGTTTTGTACATTTCTCATTACATTTATTCAGTCAATCAGGAAGAACTTAAGTTTCTAAAAGCTGGTAGGTAACACCTTGTGACAGACTCTTCTGCCAGATAATTTTCATCTAGTGCTTACTCAGCAACATTGAATCTATGCTGTAAAGAAACTCCTTAGATTCTTACTTATTGGTTAAGTATGAAGCTATACTCAAGGCTGTTATTTATATCTTTTGGTCAAGGTTGAATTACATTTCACTGGGAGTGAGGATTTATATAATGCATTTTCTCTGACTACCATCTAATATGTTTTCCCTACTAAAGGACTACAGTTGTCTTCAAAATCTCAACCCCAGCAATTTTCTCCCTTCAGAGTAACATAAGGACAACTGTTATGAGTCTGTAGACTTCAGTGTCTATTAACTCTATGATTTCTGAGTGACTATTTTAGTGTCTTTCTAGCTCTAGGTACTTTGTAAGATTTATTCTAGTAGTTACTGAACACCTACTAAAAATAAAACCTGTTACTAGATATGAAAAATAATTAAGAGAAGTTTCAGCTTTAGGGTAGCCATTGTATCTGCATACTAGACAGTTAGTTAAGCTTAAATATCTAAGTAAGAAACACACAAACCACTGATGGGTTGGTAAGCAGGGAAGAGAGTCTAATCAGATGGGTGGATATAAAATAGGAAGAAATGACATTTAAGTTGGACATCATAGGCTAACAAAAGGGAAGGGAACTCTGCTTGTGTATATACTTTGATAAGTCACTGGGAGAAGATAATACTTTTAGGGTATTGAGTCACAACCACAAAACAATGACTGAGTGCTGGGAGAAATAAAAAGAGAATTTTTTTTTTTTTTTTGGCCTGAGGAGAAAAGAGGGGAAGGGGGCGAAGGGGCAGAAAAATGAGGAAAGAGAGGAGATGATGAGAAAGTAAGGGAAAGAGAAGAGGCAAGAAAAAATCAAGAGCAATATGTAATTGGGAGAGGTGACTGAAGGGCTTTTAAGAAGGGGGAGAACAGGCCAGGCATGGTGCACCAGCCTGGGCAACTTGGTGAGACTTTGTCTCTACAATCAATCAATCAATCAATCAATCAATCAATCAATCAATCAGCCAGGCATGGTACTGTGCACCTGTCTCTACAATAAATAAATAAATAAATAAATAAATAAATAAATAAATAAATAAATAAATAAATAAACCAGCCAGGCATGGTGCTGCGCACCTGTAGTTCCAGCTACTTGGAAGGCTACTTGGAAGGCTGAGGTGGAAGGATTATCTGAGCCCAGTAGTTCGAGGCTGCAGTGGCCATGAGTATGCAACTGCACTCCAGCCTGGGCAACAGAGGCTCCAACTCAAAAAAAAGGGGGGAGAACTATTTTTTAGGTTATTTTATTTAATATATTTTATTTTAAAGATGTGGGGTACAATTCAGGATTAGGTATACAAGTGGACATTGTACAGGTAAAGATTGGCCTCCCTCTGGTCTCTACTTTGCCTGGTTTGAGATCAGGTACCCTTACTGATGTTGTCTCCATCCTCACCCCAGCTGTATCCCACTATTGCCAACCAAGAAGGGGGAGAACTATTAAGAAAACTAAAGATAACTGTCTTCTTGTGAGGAAGAGCTGAGTTTCTCATATGAGTCTGTATCATGCCTTACAAAAACAAGATACTGAGACAATTCATATCAAGTCATAATATGAATTGATTTAGCAAAAGCAAAAGCCACTTGTAACAGTAAGAATACAGTCTCTAGAAACTTGCATAAATATTGGGATGAGATTTAGGCAAAACATAAATGAAACCTTGAGTCCATCTGATTTAACCCTCCTGAAGTGAAAGACTCTAGCTGTCATCTAGATGTCACTCATGGTGATAGGGGGGGAAACTGAGGTTCAGTGTGCTAAGAAAGTTGACCAGGGTCATATAACCAGTTGGTGTGACTTAAGCTACTGTACTTTGGAAAGACTTTTTGGGAAGGAGTACTCATGATGGTCCAAGGCACAGGTTTTTGAGTCAGACACCCTGAATTCAAATGTTGGCCCTGCCACTTACTAGCCATATGAGATAACCTTTCTATGGTTCAGTTTCTTCATCTCCAAAACAAGAAAAAGTATATTATCATGTAACACTGAGAAAATAAATGAGTCAATACATCTCAATAATAGAGTCACAATCCCTTATACACAATTCTGAAATCCAAAACCTCTGAAAACCAAAAGTTTTCTTGTAAGTTTGCAACACATTGTTTGGTGGTAAAATCTGACTCAAGGCTATCATCTTTATTCCATTTGGTAAGATGATATGATGTGTTTGATTGTAGGTACTGCCTCAGATTCTGCAGAGGGAGTTATGTATTATGTGGCATAAACAATATATAGGTATTCACTCTCTAAAATCGCAAAAAAAATCTGGTTTCCAAAACACATATGGCCTCAAGGTTTTTAGATAAAGAAGTATGAACTTGTCCTTGGAACAATATCTGCTACATTTCTAAAGTAAAAAATGAGTTGCCCATGTTCAGTACAGCCTGGGGGGCTCATGCAATACTACCAATCCCTAAGCCCCTTTCTAGAAAAGAAAAATTAAAAGACAAAAGTAATGCAAAGCTCAACATAGCCCATCACAACTTTTTGCATGACTCAAATCAACATAGTATTCTGGCTGTAATGCAGTCTGTCCTAAGCCTCTTGAAATAGTC